TCTTAAGCATGCTATGTGCACATGCCTCACTAAAACCGTTATAGAACTGTTATGTAAATTTATGCGCTTACTCCCCCCCTTCTCATTTAGCCCTTTGCTCTGATGATGTTAACAGGTTGTTAACGAAAGCTCAGCAATTAATAAAAAAAGCCTTTTACCTTACATCCCAGAGTGCTTTATTTTTATCTGTTTGACTTTAAATGTCCATACCTGGGATTCCAATATTCAAAATTATCAAAGACATATATGTGCATATATACGTATCTATATGAGGGTATGTGCAAATTTAAATACACTTTCTATTTTGAGAATGATCAACATTGATAATGTGCATTTAAGATAGTTTGAACAGTTTGTAACATATTATTTCCTGTGGTTAATAGAATTATGATCCTTTTTTAACCCAATGACTTGGGTTTGCATAACATATTGAATTATCCATCGGAAAAATATTTGAACAAAATATTGAAACAAATTGGTTGTTTAGTTTATGACTCAGTATGTTTGCAAACTGGTGAATAATTAAAAAATAATTGATCATACTTTTATTTAATCATATTTTTATTTAAATACTGATTTCTGACATATTTATAAGCTAACTACTATTCAAAAGCAGTGTGATATATGTAGAAGCAGTGTAGAATATTTTAGAAGGCTTTTGTTTATCTGAATAAAAATGTGGAAATTGGTGGAATATATTAAATTAAATGCCCCTATAAATGCTGGCAGAAAGAAACAGCAGCATGCTACAATATTTACAGGAAAACTGTAACATGAGGAAGTGATGTCTGAAAGTCCTGTATGCTTTATATTTGCAAAAATTTGACATTTAATGAGATTTATGTTTAGTTCATATTTCTTTCAAGTGGAAATACTTAACTGTGCCACAAAAATAGCACATACTGTAACTCTAACCTTGTTCTTTTATATGGAATAATAACAAGGAATGAATAATGCTTCATAGGTTCTCTTCTGTGGAACTCTAGGCATTAAACACACACATGCTATTGATACATTCTTTTCTGCATATGAAGGTAATGTAATATAAATAAGTAGCATAAAAACATAGCATGCATTTTATGGGCTGCAAATTCTGAGATTCATATTAAACTGAGTTATATTATCACGAAAATATGGTCCTTTTTATATCATTTCTAAATAAAAAACACATATTAACTATTCTGTTAAATAATGGGAACATACTGAGGTACACAGTATCTAGGATGTTTTGAATCTTCTCAACAATAATTACAGCTAGATTCAGTATTAAACATATTAAAAAAAGAGCACCATTTTGACTGATCTTCTAGACATTCTAAATAGGCCATTTTTATTTCATTGACTAAGGTAAGGACAGAGCGTAAACTGAAAAAAGGGCTCTGGGCCCCTCCTTGAATTATGCAGGAGTAACTCTTGTGACAAAAACACTCAAGACAGATGCATGAGATGAGTTAAGTCAGTTACCCAGATATCAAGACATAAAAGACTTTGTTGAATAAAGCCAGCATTTTCAACAGCACTCAGAAATTTCTTGTAAGTCAATGCAGCAGTTTGCAAAATTGATGACACATGGCACGGAGAGATCTCATTTGCCAAATGCACTTGATATGCTGCAATTAACATCAACACTATTTAGTAACCATTGCAGTAACTGATTCTGCAGGTAAAATAATAAATATGGGGAAGCTATTGCCAATATACCTCATGTTCCAGAAAGAATTGCAACTAATGGACTAGTCATAGCTGAGCAAAGCTTTTCATAGTTATGACCTACATATCCTTATTTAGCAAAAGTCTTGTATCTAGAACACCTAAGTTGCAGGTTCTAATATCTAAGGGGTTGCCACAAAGAAGAGGAGGTCAACGTATTCTCCAAAGCACCTGAAGGCAGAATAAGAAGCAATGGATGGAAACTAATCAAAGAGAGAAGCAACTAGAACTAAGGAGAAATTTCCTGACATATAGAGCAATTAATCAGTGGAACAATTTGCCTCCAGAAGTTGTAGATGCTCCAACACTGGAGGTTTTTAAAAAGATATTGGACAACCATTTGTCTGAAATGGTATAGAGTTTCCTGCTTGAGCAGGGGGTTGGACTAGACGATCTCCAAGGTCCCTTCCAACTGTTGTTATTCTGTTATTCCTTTAGGAAGAATAAAAGAACCCACTAGCAGCAGGCAAAAGACTCCAGTTTTTCTGCAATTAATTCTCAGGATCCAGACTTAAAGCCTTCAAGCACCAGGTCAAGATTTCCACTTTGTCTCAATTCAGACCACGGTGATGATGTACAACTAAATATTACCCGTGTGTTGATAACACCTCAGCCTATATCAGTGGGTGACTTCTTCCAGTGGTTTTATACAGATATTAAAATGCAAAGAGAGAGGACCAGTCTCTCTGGCATCTCACAAATAAGCAAACCCTGGATGACTTCTCTGCTATTATCACCAAATGATATTACTCTTAGGAAGGAGCAGAAACACTCTTCACCACAAGAGAGAGCTTTCCACTCCTAATCACCATGAGCAGCTGAGAAAATATGTTTGATGGCATCAAAGACTGCTCAAAGGTTCAAAAGGACCTCTTGAAAAAAGTGTACTCCCCCATGCAGATTTCAATAAAAGTAACTAGTAGAAAAATAAATAGGATTCTCAGTTCATGCCTAGGTCTGAATCCTTATAGTATTGTAATCATTTTTTTTCTAGAAAACACCTCTTCAGAATGAGCCACTAGCATGAAAGGCAAGTAAAGGCAGGTTTTTTGTTTCACTGGGTGAAAAATTAAACATGATGATTGGAATTCTGCAGAGAGATTGGTAGCTTAATTGTTATGGATAAGTTTCTACATTGTGCCTTAGTTGAGCTCTAAACTGCAGAAGATGATCTTCTTCTAGGGAACAAGAGTGGAATGCAGGATAAGTCAATGCAAGAATGAAACAATAAACAATGTATGCAGAACTAGCTATGCAAATTTTCTCTTTTCCTATAGGGAGGTTTTTTTTAAAAGGATTTTTAAGAGGCATATGTTTAAATGACAGATTTTTTTTTGTCTCCTTCACTGAATGTTAGGAAAAGTTACAGCTTTTATATTTATACCTCTTACATTAAGGCATTGAATTTTTCCATAGGTAACATGTAGAAACAAGTGGTCCATAACCAGGTCAGCCACATTTCCCCCCTCCAAGAATATTGTTCTCAATAAGGCAAACAGTGTGCTCCAATGCAGTTTCCGCCCCCCCCAATGGAATGTCCTTCAGATATTCAGATTTCAACTCTCCACCCTGATCGTTGTGATTCTATAACCCTGCCAAATGTGTTCTTTATGTAAATTATTATTGATTGGGCTTCTTATAGAAACTATAAAATGACAATATTAATGTTTGTTAAACACTTGGTTCAGACATTTCAGAGAGTATTTTACAGCCTAGCCTCCTTCATAATTTGTTA